TGAGGTGAAAGCCAAAGCCATGGAAGACTTCTTTCGATCTGCAGGAGCTATCGCCGATGAAGTTCTGGTTGCCCATTTCACAGATGCCCCGTGCGCTGCTGTTCCTAAGGTTTGTAATCTCGCTAGGCAAGCAAACCGGAAAAGACAGAAGACAAGACCACAGGAGCCCACTGATCTGGAGTTTGAGGTTGACGAACGCCACATACCAGATGATTTCCTGCAGGCAGACGTGAAGGTTGGAGGTCGGCGCCACCTCATATTCAGCACCCCAGAAATGATCGCCCTACTAAAGCAAGCAAAGGTTTGGTACATGGATGCCACTTTCAAAGTTGTGAAAGATCCATTCAAGCAGCTATTCTCAATTCATGCCTTTGTGAGACAAAACAGTGACGTGAAGCAGGTAATATATATATATATATATATATATATAATATATTTAATACATTCAACTAAGTCCTCATTTTTAGATCCAAATTAAATTGCTGTATTTTATTTTTTCATATTAACAGATACCGTTGGCATTTATCTTAATGTCTGGCAAAAAAAGGCGAGACTACAAGCACGTGTTGAAGGCCATCAAGAACCTCCTTGCTGATGGTCTCTGCTTGAAAGGCGTTGTCATCGACTTCGAGCATGCGTTATGGCAGGCAGTGGCAAAGGTGTTCCCAGGTGCATCAGTTCAAGGCTGTGTGTTCCATTGGACCCAAGCAATTTGGCGGAAAGTACAAGGGTTGGGCCTGACCACAGCATACAACGAGGACGACTCAACCCATAAATACATTAGACGGTTGATGGCCTTGCCATTTTTGCCCCACGAGCACATTAGCCAGATGTTTGAGCAGCTGAAGGCTTTGGCAACCACACCTGTCCTCCAAGCCCTGGTCGCGTACATCAGTGATACCTGGATCAATTCCACAGTTTGGTCTCCGGAGAATTGGAGCATATTCAAAAAAAGTGTTAGAACCAACAATGATGTTGAGGGTTGGCACCATCGTTTAAACCACAACGCAAGGCGTGGATCCCTGCCCTTCTACTTGCTGGTTGACCTGTTACATCGCGAATCTCGTCTGGTGTCCGTACAGGTTCGTCTAGTTTCTGACAACAAATTGAAACGTCAACAACGGCGCAAATACAGAAAACTACAAGGCAGAATATTTGAACATTGGGACAAATTCATTGCTGGTGAAATGACCAGCAAACAACTGTTGCATGCTTGTGCCCATGTCAATGGCCCTTGCACCCAGTGAACTGTGATGGTGGCTGGGTATTTAATAGGATACACTGTATATATCGATGTAAATAATGTAATAATTATTAACTATTCTATTACGTATATTTGTATATTGTATGTTTATATGTCTTGTCTAAAAGTCATTTCTTGGCAAATAGCTTTCACGGCATTAAAAAAACCAAAATCACATGTGTTTGACTACTGTAAACTTCGAATGTCATATATTTATACAAGTAATCAACTCTCAGCAATGAATTCACTTGCCTGTACTTGCGATTTTCAAATCTTAGTATGCCAATATTGAAATTTTGACTTGACTTACCTTGGATAAAAAGCGATCATACAGTACGATATTGCAGTAACAACTTCTAGAGTACCTTTTCCTTTCCAATTTTAAAATATTTAACACATTTATACATTGAATAACATTGTCCGATGTTGGGCCGAGTTGGTCTCGGTAGTGGGCCGACTTGGCCTCGGCAGTGGGCCGACTTAGTCTCGACAGTGGGCCGAGTTGGTTGGGCCGAGTTAGTTAGTGGGCCGAGTTGACCGTAATTCGATTTTTCTACGCAGCTTCGATTCTAAGAGCTCCTTCAAGTATGCAAACTTTGTCACCGTGCCATGTTCGAAGAGCCGATTTCTGCTTAAAATTTGTTTCAAAACGATAGACTGTTCTGAAACTCGCCATCGTTCAAATAATTTCGCAACCGTGTTATTTTGGTGACGCCTCGGTCAATATTTTCTTCAATTAAACAGCCTCGCGCTTCTATGTCTTCAAGTGATTCGCTTTTCCCAAATTTGCCATGTTTACTTTCACGTTTAGACTCCCCGATCCACGTTACTACCTTACTCAGAATCTATTTATGCCTTTTGATTTTCTCTGAAATACCCTTGTTTAGAACCCCGTTTCGTTTTTGCTGTTTAAAGACTTAAAAGAGTTCAATCGCTCCTTCCAGTTTTGAATTCAAGTTTTTTTAATTCGTTTTTACTCGATCTCGTTCGGACGTGCCACTATATCGCGACCCTTCTTCGGCGTAAACCTAGACACTAAAAATGGGTATCTATTTATGTTGTAATGCATCGAGTTTTCAAACTCAGGCAATCAGCGTAGACTACGAGTTGCATCATATTTCAATGAGTTTTTGATGGTTTTTAATCCTTTTTTACCCATCACTTGTGAATTTATGTTTGTCGAGCTTTGAAATAATCAGCATGTATGATTGAAGAGCCGGGTTTAACTTTCAATGTAATCATGTTCATGTTTCAGATTCAATTTGAACATTACTGCTAATGGCCCATGGTTATGATCCAAACCGCTTTCTTGATCCAGTCAACGAAGATTATCTATGCAATATTTGCCACCGTGTTTTTAACAATCCACGATTATGCGAGGCAGAAGAGCACTACTTTTGTCTGAGTTGTATTGAAGAATATCTTGCCCATTCTCAATCCTGCCCGAAATGTCAACAACATCTCACTCAAAAAACTTTGAAACATCCCCATTTTTTTTGCCGAAGATTTTGTCGCAGCTGAGAATCAAGTGTGATTACAACAGTCGAGGGTGTCCCATATTTATTCAGCTTAAAATGTTGGACGATCACGTCAGTGTTTGTGAATATCGTCCAGTTACGTGTGGAAATTGTGGCCAGCAGGTGAACAAAAGAGATGAAAACTACCATAAAAGTTTCTGTCTGTTTGATCGCTCCAATATTCAGGACTTAAAGGACATCAAAATGAATCAAAAGGAAATAAAGGATATGTTGACAACTATGATGACGATTATGTCTGAAAGACAAGAAAGATTTCACGTAACCCTAGACATAAGTGGGAAAGCACCACAAGTGGTGGAGAATTCGCAAGTGAAAGATCTGATGGTAGTCACCAATGTGTACAAGGAAGGTCATACTTCCACGAATTCATGCGAACATAAAATGAAAAATGGTGAGACAAAAAGTAATGAATGTCAAGATGATGATGTACGTATGGAAGTTATGAAAATGAAGGTAATTGTTTCATAATTTTTTCTGCCATCATTTAAATGTTCTGACGGCTTAGTGAGGAGGGCCACATATCTTCGAAAAATAAGGTAGTAATTCGAAGGTAATCTTGTGATGTGCATAATAGACCAACTTTTGATTTAGCCAAGAAAAAGGAAATTTCCGAAAAGTGCATACTAAATTTAGTAAAATTACCAAGTTTGGCTGCAAAATATTGTAAAGTACGGAAAATATAGCCATGCGAAGTTGCCAATTTTGTATACTTTTTACTACGGCTGGAAGTGTTTAACTAAATTAGTTTAAACGCTTCCGGCCGTAGTAAAAAGTAAATACAAAATTGCCAACTTCGCATGGCTATATTTTCCATACTACTCGACATTTTCCAGCCAAAGTGGGCAATTATACCAACTAAGCATGCTCTTTTTAGCTGTGGTGATTTATTTCCTCCTTGTTATCTAGATCGTAAGTTGGTCTATTATGCAAAAGGTCTATTGGTAATTAGTACGACTGCTGGATCGCACTGGAAGCCGGGCCGAAACTATAGAGCGATAATTGAGGGGGGATTATTGATACTGAATCATAGGTAGCCCAATGCGCTGCATTACGTACGTCACTCGGGTCACGTATATAGTATATAATAATATAAGGTTGGCAAGAATATTTTATTTTCAATATACATCGTTTAAATATGATCAAAATATTAACATCTATTCTATAAAATACGCCAAAAAATAGCAGCCCCTAAGTGTAGGGTAGTTTTACTAAATTTGTACGTCGTTTTTTTGCAATGAAACGCGATTAAAAAATGAAAATATGCCAAAAGTTTGTTGAAATTTGCCGTGTCCCGATGCAGGATGCCTGTTGCCGTGCAAAAACATCAATTTGAAAACTCGTATACGCGATCCTATTGGTCATCACAAAACGGTCAAAGCTGCATGACCAATAGGATCGCGTATACGAGTTTTCAAATTGATGTTTTTGCACGGCAACAGGCATCCCGCATCGGGACACGGCAAATTTCAACAAACTTTTGGCATAGTTTCATTTTTTAATCGCGTTTCATTGCAAAAAACCGACGTACAAATTTAGTAAAACTACCCTACACTTAGGGGCTGTTATTTTTTTGGCGTATTTTATAGAATAGATGTTAATATTTTGATCATATTTAAACGATGTACATTGAAAATAAAATATTCTTGCCAACCTTATATTATTATATACTATATACGTGACCCAAGTGACGTACGTAATGCAGCGCATTGGGCTACCTATGACTGAATATGTGAATAAACACCTCTTCACCCTCACCCTCCCCCCCCCATGATTATCGTTCTAGACGTTTTGTACATTTAGAATATTTTGTGGTATTTTCGTTTACTTTTCCGGTCATTTTTAAAACCATGTTTCTAGTCAATACGAAACAGCTTTTACTAATGGTTTTAACCGATTTCATGATTTAATAGTCACCACATGTTTTAGCAGGCGCATAAAATCTTGCATGTACTTAACAACAAGTTTTATTTTATGTGATTTACCGGCTGCCGTTAAATAACAAGTTTCGTTTCAAGTTTCTTTTGGTGGATCAAACACGATAGTCGTACATGTGTTATTTTAGCTTTTCAAAACGAGGTATTCGCCAGCAACACTGTATATTATATAATAAACGTAAATAAAATGAAGAAAACAAGCGCTTTTTCAATTTCTAATATTCTCGTCAAAACCTTTCGACAAACCTTGAGACAAACAAAGTGAATAAAATGGAGGTAGTGGTAATATTTTAAAATTATTGACCATTTATCCTCATAATTATTGCCCTGCATGCATTCATGCAGAGCTTGTTTTTTTCCACAGACCAAATGTTGCTACCACAAAGTTCAAATACCATTGTTAGACTCAGTCTTAACCAGACGTGTACTTTGAACTCGTAGAATTTTAATCATATAGCGGTTCAACTAAACGAATATTTACAGAGATTAGTACGGTACGAATACGAGGAATACGAACAAGTACCATACGACAAGTACGAATACGACCATACGAATACATACATGAAACTTACAGATTAATTTGTCTGTCCGGTAGAAAATCGTTCGCTTCTTGAATTGTGGAGACTCTTGGTGGATCTTTGTATCGTATGATCAAACTGATAGTGAACGACTATTTATACCGCGAATTAACATAACATTATATATAATAACATAACATTAAACTAAGTTATGACAGTTCCGGTTTGAAATCTACAACCATTATGGTCGGATATAACACCATAGCATACCATAACACCATTATGGTAGTGTAATGACTAAAAATTAAAATTTTACATTTTAGGAGAACATTTTAACGAGTAAACAAGATTGCGAGGGGTTTAAAGGAGTGCTAAATGATCTATTAGCAAGGAATGCAACAGGTATTATCATATTTTTGGTGGTATGGTTGTAAAAGCGAAACTACTTCTTCAAATACTGTTGAACTGTATTGTATTGTTGAGAGGAGCTCTAGAATTGTGCAACAATTGGAGCAACCTTTGGTATCGTCGGCATTGTGTGTTCACGACAATCGCATCCTTGCTATTGGTGGTGTCGATGATGAAGGTGACAGTGACAAGATCAAGGTTTTGAAGATGAGCCGACATGTTTTGCAATGCGCAATATTTGGAAAACTGCCTGTTAAATTATTTGGCCACGATGTCGTTGTCCATGAAGGAAATTTATATGTAATAGGCGGGTGTAATTGGCACGAAAGGAGAACATTGGACGAAATCTATCAGATTGCTCTTACCCCACCTTTTACTGTCGAGCTGCTGACGAGAATGCCCGAGCAAAGAAGACATCACAGAGCAGAACTTGTTAATGGAAAGCTGTTTATCTTGGCGGAGCATCTACCGGACGTAGTAAAGATGCCACTGACAGCGTTGTCGTTTACGATTTTGGTGAGAATGAGTTCAAGCCTTGTCCGTCGTTACCTCAGCCGGTTTCTCGTATGTCCTCGGTTACTTCGGGTGAGAATATTATCGTTATCG